AAAAAAAAAAAAAAAGAGTAGGGGTAAAATCCATTTTCAGGCAAATTTATTTATTTTTTTAGCCACTTCAGTAGAAAACAGAACTGAATGTTAGCTTCTTAATTTCTGCATCGTCAGTGACTTTTTTATACTATAGTAAAGAAGAAAAAGAAAAAGTAGAAGAGAAATATAGGAAGTGTAAAGAGAGAAACCGATAGAAATTAGACAACATGTGAAATGTTGTCTAACAGGCAAATTTTTACATTTACACAAGCCTTAAAAAACAATGGTTTGTTATTTTATTATTTTTTTCCTTACCAAACCTTTAGTTTTACATGATTTTAGAAATGCAATTAGTAACCTAAATTAAGTGTGAGTCAGCCACTAGGTCAATCTTTCAGATAACCATATAAAAACACACAAACACTGACTAACAATGGTCTCTATCTACCACTGTCTTACCTCAAACTGAGCACACGATTCCAGCTCGGCTCTCTTGGCCTCGGGCTCCCCAGCGACCGGGCTGCGGAGGGTCTGCAGAAAAAGCGCAGCCTTCCTCTTCCTCTCTGCCTGTAGCTGTTTCTCCTTGGACTCCTTGGCTGCCTGGGCCAGCTTCTCTCTGGCTGCAGCTGCCAGACGATCTTCCAGTTTCAGCTTGGCTGAGGGAGGTGGAATGAGTGGGCAAAAACAAGAAAAACAGTATAGATTGTTAATACCCTTTATTTTGCTTTTCTTTTTTTCTAGCTAAATATTCTGCTATTAAATGATGGTAAGGGAAGGGAAAAAATGAAAAGCTTTTTCATGATAAAAAAAATATTTCTGCAAAGAAAAGAATTTGAAGTCAAACAGAAGACAGAAAATAAYAGATGAAAAAATATCTAGACAAAATGAAAAGTGAAACAACACGCAGGATTAAAAATACAAGTATTTTTCCACTCTTGCTGTCATCTTTTGCTAAGATGATTTCAGGCAATTTTGTGAGTTTTCAACTGCTGTAGATTGGCAGAATTCCTGCTTCAAAGTATAACAACTGACTACATCTTGGGCGATGCATAATTTCAAGCAATTTGGAGTTTACAGAAAAAAAGTAGAAACGGGAGGAGAGATAAGACCGATTCTGAGTGACAAGAAAAAAACAATTCAAGATGTGGGAAAAAAAYYGATGACAAAGGTAACAAAAACAGGCTGAAGGGGAGAGAGCTAAGAATGCAGTATGAAGGATGACACAAGGAGCTGAAAGCAAAAGCACGAGTCAAACAAAGAAGGAACAGCAGCACGTGTGTGTATAGAAATATGCTAAAACAAAAGCAGTTGTGTTTTTGTTATGTAACCACTGGGGCTTCTGCTGTCTCTTAAGTGTTAAAAATACGCCAGCTGCTGAGGCGAATCACACTTGAGTACAGTGAAAAACAGCCATGAGGAGCAGAATCCATCTGTACCTCAAACAAACACAATCCTGGCATGCCTCAATCTGCCCGCTGTATTTGCATTTAGTTTAAACTCCATAAACAAATACCTCCATATGAATATACAGAGTCTGTAGAAAAGTGACTGCAACACTGGCATCAAAAGCTTTATGAGGACCATTTGCACAGACCAATCTGTTTAAACATGCATTAATTGCATGAAGTCATGTGATGGAAAGAGTCACATTAACCAAAACACACTGTTGAAACTAATGAAAAGGCCAGCCACGACAACACATTTTGCAGGACGATAAACTGTATTAGAAATGATTGCAATAAACTACACTGCCTACCCCCCCCCCAAAAAAATTTTTTTTTAATAAATTAAAAAATGCCTCCTGGATTTAAGTAAGGTCTATGATGTGGGGTTGCTGCAGTCAGTCAGGTCCAGGTTCAACAACAGTATGAGCTCAAAGAGTGAGGTCAGCTGACCTGAATATACCAAATGACCAGGTTATTCATCAATGGATTGTTTCTTCCCTGATGGTACGGGCATATTCCAAGATTACAATGCCAGGATTCATCAGACTGGAATTGTGCAAGAGTGCTTCAGGGAGCATGAGACATCATTGTCACACATGGATTGGCTCCACAGAGTCCATTGAGAATCTTTGGGATGTGCTGAAGAACATTACAACTATTTTTCTTTTTTTTTTGGGCCAGGCAGTGTATAATATTTTTTAGAGTCATTTTAAAGTAATCTAATGATACTCTGCTTAGCAAAGTTTATGAAATTTATATATGTCAAAAAAACGGTTATGAACTGACAGGAGATTGAAAAAAAAAAAAAGCCAACAAAAAAACAAAACTACACACAACACCACCTCCTTTATCCAAGCCGGCACAATTTATTCTGTACGTGTCTTCGTCTGGTTTCACAGTTGCGGTCACCTGCCCCCTACTTACAAAGTTTATGAAATTTACATAGTGTAATGAATGTAAAAATGAATGTAAAAAAAAAACTCCCTGCAAACCCAAGGTTTGGAAATGTCTTGAGGTGTGTTCAGCTGAAAGTTGACGTCAAACAGCCAAAGACGTTCCTCTCGCTAAATGCCTGTTCACAGGGCTCTCGTGTTACAGAGGTTACGAGACCATGTGCCTGGCAAATGCCGAACGCAAACGTTCACTCCTCCCTAGACTAAGGAGCAGAAAAGAGGGCGATGCGAAGAAAACAAACAAGCAGAAATAGGAAAATTATGGACCTCATTTTAATTTATAATGCGATTAATTATTAATATAGTGACAGGCCTACCCTGTGGCAGATCTAGTATTTTTCTGAGTAAGGGGGCCATCAAGGGGCCACAATACTCATAGAGGAGCCAAGAATTTGCTCAAAATCTTTGCACACAAATCCCTGGTTTTGGTAAGGTGTATATATTTTATCAGTCCCACATTTAAACACTTGTAAAGTCATTTTAAAAAAGCTTGCACAGTAAATTCTTCTTACCAATTTCTCATGGATTTTTACAGTACATAGATAAAATACTCTCAAACACAGCATGTGAGAGAATCCAGCCATCATTTGTGAGTTGAAAGACTTTGTCTGCAGGATTGGTCAAATTTTAAGAACTATTAAAAAAAAACCTTCTGTTCTGCTTGATTCATGCTGGACGTTTCTATTTGGCTCATTAGCACCTCTAGTGTTGACATGGAACTGCACCCAGCATCATCACTCTTGGGCAACGGACAGATGAGTGACAGGACAGGGGCACTTCAGGGGGCCAATCAAATTTCAGCAGGGGCCAACGCCCCTGTGGCTCCGCCCCTAGAAATGCCCCTTGGCCTACCAATGACTTCTATCTGATGATCATTTAAATTACATTATTCAATAAAAAAAATTTAGACAAATGATTCCCTTACAGGGCTTACGAAAGAAAACAAAAAGAAAGTCAAGCCAAAGCTGGCCAAATTGAGGACCCTGTCAACAAATTCATAAACACCTGAGATAAATTTTTGTTCATTTTATTCAGTTAGGCTGCAAATATTGTCTGTAGTGGCACATCTCAGAGCAACTATTTCAGCTAATTAAAAGCAGCTTCTATTTCAGATACCAAAAAGTGTTTCAAGTTATCTCACAAACAGAATCAAACAAGACGACCCACTGGGAAAAGCTCGCAGCTTTAATTTATACATCTAATGAAAGAAACCACATTTAGTGTGTGGCTTTTTTCAGCACATCACCACAGATAAGTGTTTGCCGTCCGTCACTGATCCTTCTATCTGATCAAATCAAGCCTACAGACTGACAGCCACTTCACTGCACAGCAAAGGCAATTCAGCCAGCTTTTTATTAGGCTCTTCCTGCCTCTTTCTCTGGCCGCCTGTCAGCTTCAAAAGACACCATTACATTCTAAAACGTTTCAGTGAACCTAAATGAACCTGACAACCACCTTGATGCTGAAAAGTAGCACATTTGTCTTCGACTTTCCGTCTATTTTTTCAAGTTCTAGTTCACAGCTGTCTTTCTAGTCAGTGGGAGAATATGACACTTCTGTTCTAATCTTCTGGTCTCAGAAGATGCTGAAATTCGAGTCTTTAGACACCACACAGTCTCCAGGGCATTTGGCTGGATAACAAACAAGAGAACCTCAATCACGAGAATGCAATGAGAAAGGCAATAAACACTTTAAAATGTGAATTTTTTTCTGAACAGAAGCAGTTGGTAAAAATGAAATAAAAAATTAGCCTAAAATGAGATGAAATATAGTCCTAAAGAATATTACTCTAATCATTTCCTTCTTGGTTTTCTTGCGTTTTTTTTTAATTACTTCAGAAAGAGTGTCATATTTTTAATGAAGGTGAGTCTGAGGTGCAGACATCTATGTATCTGTTCACATTTCACTGCTGAATAATTCACACAGGCTTTCCTTCACCCAGATGAAGTTTTAATACAGTCTTAACTTTTAATTTTAGTTCCATGTTCAATAACAAAAGTTTGTTCCTTAAAAATGCATTTTTTGAAATATTTTGTTTTTGCTGCTTCATCATCCAAAACTTAATTATTTCTGATGTTTTTGTTTAAATTGAACACCTGTTTAACTCGGCAGTTGTTGAAGTGCATCAGGAGTCAAATCAATGAAGTACAGCTATTAAAAACTAAATTCAATGATATGATTATCTAATGGTAAAGTTATGTCAACATTTTTAAAAGTGGCCAATTTTTGGAAAGAAATGATCCAACGTGCAGTTGGCAAGAATTATCTTTTATATTTTTTGCAATTTGAAACTACTTGCGTTTGTATGAGAGTATAGCCTGATTTAAAATAACCTCTTTTTGTTCAGAAAAATTTACTGAGGTAGGAATATCCGAAAGGAAGAAGACTAAAAAAGGGAATACTTCTAAATATTGATGCTCTCTTTCATAGCATTCTTTGGCATGGAGTGATCTCATCAGAAGCTCARATTACATTACACCAGCCAGGATTGGCTGAAAATCAGCCTGTCAGTGTCAAGGAGGGCCAAGACCCACCCCCTATATATAGGGCTGTTCCTGCAATGACAGGTTATTCAAAAATCTCTTCTCACAATGAGCAGAAGTACCAGCTCTCTCCAGGTCTTACTCAGAGCCTAGCTAAACTGTCCGTAGACACGTACACAAGCTCAGTCGCTGGGCGCTTTGCTCTGGGTTAGCACTGGGGCTGCCACAAACGATTATTCTTATAGTCGACTAATCACAGATTTTTTTTTTTGATTAATCGACTAATCGGATCATACGTTAATTGAATATAAAACATAAAACTTATCGCGCAAGAATACAGCTGCTATTATATAACCATCGTTAGATTTTAGCTGTATGCGAACTAAAAATAATTGCTGTGGAAGGCAAGTTCTGCTCTGCAGATATTGCACAGGTTTCTCTTTCATTTTCTTAAAATGATCCCACACTTTTGAGCWCRGTTGCTGGGTAGCCATGATACCAGAGCCTGTCTGTATAATGTCTTGTGACGTCCACGGCCTACCTCAGTTACCACTACTGTGCATGTGTGTCAAGGACAGAAAGGCAGATGTGGAAGTGGAAGGTGTCAAAGCAGTTTGGAGAGAAAAACAAAGTAAAAACCAAAACAAAACGACTAATCGACTATTAAATTAGTTATCGACTATTTTAATAGCCGATTAGTCGTCGACTAATCATGGCAGCCTAGTAGTTAGTACAGCGCCAAACTTTCGCTCAGGTACACTTGCTCCCCATCTTTAGTCTCCCAAAATTGCCAAACGTGCAGGGAGCCACACAGGCGCCGCAAAAACCCTCCAAAGTCCCGTGGCAGAGAAAGCTTGAGAGTCCTCACCCACCTCCATTCAGATGGTCAGGAGGAGGAAACGGCTGGTCTGACATCCTCCATGAATGGAGGGAAGGACATATTCACAAGGATATATCCCCTTATGGTGCGTTCACACCGAARGCGATTTCAGCGTCAGGAGCAGCAGGTTTACATACAAAGTCTATGGTGGACGCGCTTCAAGCAATGTCGGGAAGTTCTGCGGCGCCTCAAGCGCGATTAGAGCAGCGCGATTTGAACGATTTGAGCGTTCGACGCGCTGAGGCGCAAATCGCTGAAGTTAGAAAATCTGAACTTTTGCAGCTCGACGCGCAGCGTCAACCAATCAGAGAGACTCCACTGTGTGACGTAGCGACATATTTCCCGACGGGACAGTTTACTGAATGATGTCCACTAACCTGAAACAGATGGAGAGGAGCTRTTTAGCTGAAATGAGTGCCTGCAGTCGTGTCCTGATCCGCAGCAATGCGTGYCAGCYACTCATCAGACTGGAAAAATAGTCCTGAAAGCGAGTTGTGAGCCTCTACTCTGAATTATCTGGTGAATTAATTATGAATTAATTATCTGATGAACGTGACAGGCTCTTGCTCTGTAAATAAAGCAAAGCCACTTCCTCGTCCGACATTAAACAGAGCCCGACAGAGGAGGGAGGGGCGGGGAGGCTCTGCCATGCAGCGCTTCAAGAGCTGTCCTGCGTCTGACCTCAAAGTGCACAAGCTTCAAACTTCAGCGTTGGCTGCGATTTTGAAGCTGAAATCGCATTCGGTGTGAACGCAGCATAATTCTAATAAAGAGCAGTTTCCGAAGATTTACATTTTTAGCTGTGGAGCTTTAAAAGATATTCACCTTGCTTTGCTTCCAACTCTTCCAAACTGAGGCTGGGTTTCTTCTCTTCAGGAACACTGGCCAGGGGTGGGTCCTTTTCCATCATTAAAGCTTCACCCATCACAGCTTCCAGCCTTTCATCGTTCAACAGCTAGAAGGGAAAATACACGAGAAATTAGATACAAAGGTGACAAAACAAAAACTTGAAGAATAGATCTCCTATCCTCCAGATATTTTCTACTTTTGTATTATATGAGGTAAAAAGATAAAGTTGAACTAGACCTTGTCTTCATCAGAATCATCATCTAGTCGCACTCTGTTCTTCTCCAGAGGCAACATGTCATTTTCTTTTGGCTTGATGGCAAAAGAGATGGGGGCAAAAGAGGCTGTGAAAGCACAAGGAGAAGGTTAAATAGTCATTTAGACAGACCAAAAAGGTTTCAGAACAGAGCAAATTATATGACTCAGACAAGTGCATCTTGTCCTTTTTGTGATTTCTCACTAAAAACCAAGGTTCCAGATCAGGGCAAGAAAGAAAAGGCAAAAACAGGAAGGATTAGAAAAGGAGGTGCTAAAAGATAAGAGGATAGAGACAAATGGGTAAAAGAAAGTACCAAGTATTATGAAACAAAAAAAACAGTAAATCACACACAAAGTATGGGGGAAAAAGCAGTTGAATCAGCAGGATAAAAGGTATTTCTATTATACTACCAAATAAATTTTTTTCTAGATGAAAGAGACTGTGTGCCCGATTCCCTGAAGCAATAACCTTAATATAGGACCTATATCCTTACTGTACAGGGTTGGATAGTTTACTTGTGTACTTTTCTGACTTGTTATTAGTTTCCCCAAGCCGGCTGCATGATCTGTCGCATCACAATAATCTGTGTGTGTGCGTGTGCCTTATTTTGCATATATTGTTTGTATGTTTATAGCTGCTGCCAGCACAGAGGTGAGCAGTCTTATCTTCGCCCAGACATTTGTGGCCTGATATCAGATGAAATTGCCTGCACAACTATGAACAAACCCATAGGCACCCGTGCATAAAAGTCAATTTACAGCATGCACAGATTAAAGCAAATAAACACTCAAGTGTAATTACATGCACATATTCACACAATGGCTTTGGATCCAATTCAACAAAGGAAGGTCTTAAAGAAAATTAAATGACAGGATGTGGAGTGTTTTATTGTTTTGTACCTTTTGTTAGCTTGTAGTCCTTGTCTGACTGGTCTGTTTGAAGTGCATTGCAATCATCTGTCCCATCCTYTATGAAGTAAAAAATACAATAAAATAAATAAAGAGAGTGAAGAAAATTGTATCAGTTTCTTTTGTGCTTAAAATGTTACGAAGTACATGAGCAACATGGTGCACAGGGCCCATGACATCCATCAAAACGTATTGCATTTTTCCTGTGATGAATCCACATAGACCTGCAGAACTGGAGCTGAAAATGAGATTTCACTAAATCCTGTGTGCCTTCATTTTTTACTTGATGTATTGTTAGTTTGAAATAGACACGAGATGAAGTTTATTTTTAAAAAGCTTTTTAAAAAGGCAATGATAAAAGTTAGCAGTCCATCTCCTGTCACTTTCTTGTTAAAAATAATAATAAAAACATAAAACCGTTTGCATGTTTATGACACTTCCACTTAGCTTTATATAATACATTGATGGTTTTAAAATGCTGAGTGAGTCATCCCTTTCTGCTAGTAAACTAAAAAGTATTACATTTATTTATTATAATTATTCATAGGCAAGGTTCTAGCCACATTTGAAGTTAGCCCACAGAAAGGCAAAAAAACAATTATGAAGGTGGATCGGGCATCATAACCTCAGAAAATAAATATTCTTTGAAAGTTAACCAGTGTTAAAAGTAAAAAATATATATAAAATACATAACGTATTATAAAAAATGCAATTAAAATGTAAAACAAGACTGAAAAATGAACATTTGTCCTCTAAGCCAAGCCCACCACACTTGACTGATAAGACAAATCTCTACACCAAAGCAACATTATCTCGGCCTTTGAAACTTATCTGAAGGGCAAAAGGTCAGTCAATTTAAAAAAGACACTYTCCATACATGTCACATCATTGATTGTGATGGATCATTTTTCTTTCAGAATTTTCACACTGTAGACAGGYTCTTTACATGAGGACAGTCCTGACTGTAAAACGTAGCCAATGTAACCTTTCACTAAAGAAAAACACCAGGATTTAGGTTTATGACAGAATAAATGAAAAGCATTACAAACTTTATGTAGCTTTAAAACACTAAAGGCTTTATACAAGAACAATGCAGAAGAAGACCTACAGAAGATAATTATTGGTAATGAATAAGGGTGACAGAGGTTGTTTAATTATGTTTTTATTAAGCAAATTATTCGTGCATACATTAGAAGACTAATTACTGGATATAATTTTACAGGTCCTTCTCACCATCTTCACTTTTCAGCTTTCTTTATCTACCTGCCAGTCTAATTAGTCACTTACACAGGCTTTCCACATTTCCCTGCAAGATCTGTTATTATTCACATTAACCTCTGGCCATTATACCTGGCTAGTGTCCCACAATCAGATATGTGTGTGGGGTNATCTAATATTACATGTGGCTCTTAGCTTTTATTCCAATTAAATAAAATCACTGATGGGATGAAAAAGTGGTGATGAAGCCAAGGCCACTGGGATGGAAACACCATCTGATACATTTTATTTTGTTTGAAGATGACTTCAAAGTGAACTGCTTTAAGTCGACAGTGCTTTCAATGGTCAGAGAACAAGACCTGTAGGCTCCAGCCACCAAGAACTCTAAAATCAAAACTCTGAGGCAAAGACATGGAAGGACATACATGCAACCTTTCTGAGAAAGATGTGACAGAAAAATAAACAGGATTGGTTTTGCACTTTTTGTTTAGCCTTTACAGCCTTTCAACATTATTTATTTGATCACTGGTAGGAATTTGCATTATGCACACTTGTTATATGATTGGTCATTGCAACAGACTCATCTGGTGTGCATGATAGTGATGACAGAAAAGAAAGTGAGAAGTAAAGAAAATGTGAGTTTATCACAATCAATAATTATTTTGGGGCGGTATGATGGTACTGCAGTATACTGAGGTATTAAAATACGGTTACGATAACTTAAAAATTATGATGGCATTAGTCACATCAGGTGATGTGCCAAACTTCCTCYAGGCTACTATGGGACATAAACATTCAAGGCTCTTTCAGAAGAACCCCCGTAACATTACTGACACATGTTCTGACCACCTCAGTCCATTCAGAAGACAAACAGAGGCAGAGAACGGGACAGACACCGCTGTCTGTGGCGCCTCTTAACTCCAAATGAGTTTTAAAAAAAAACCTCTAAGCAACATAGTGACAGAAACTCACTAACTCTTGAAAGATGGGCCAGTAGAGCGCTGATGGACAGCTTCAGGACCCCTAGCCACGAGTTTTTTTTAAGTCAAATAAGGAGCTGGACTCCTTTCAGATGTAAACTTTTTGTGATTTTTTTTCCGAGATAAGTGAACTCCTTGCTGAAGACAAGAAACTATAGATTTTATTGGAACAAAGACTGGCTAAACGTACGCGGCAGCTCAGATACAACCGTGGTAAGAGTCAGATTATTTTGAAACTTACAGCTCTAAAAAACGTACTTGACCCTATTTTGATCTGTTTGACATAATAAGAGGAAAAAACATCCTGTGACTCCTGCTGCGCTCAGCTGTGTTGGAGCAGAGAAACCTCTGGAATATGCAGGATAGCYGCCCTCAAAGACCAGGATGGCCCTGTTTTAAAGCTATCCCAAATATGGAAATGATCAATACCACCCAACCCTAATCACAATATTAGACAATAATATCCAAATAACTCAAGTTTCATCTAAAATTGTGCAACCCTACTTTAAATACATTACTTTTGATTATGCTGCACAACAAATATTTATTACTACAGCTTTACAAAGCAGTCCTGACTTATATCCAATAAGGCCTGACCTTTTGTATGAAAAGGGGGTAATTCAAGGAAAAAAAGGAGAAGTTACTGACACCTTTACCTCAGCAGAATTAGCTCTATCCTCAATGCAAAAAATGAGACTGCACTGTGAGCTTCTTTTTTTTATTCACCTGTATTCATTCCACCTCCTGACAATACCCTTGACATATAATCATTTTTTTCCCCGGTGTTATTTCCTTCCTTCGTTTGAATATTCAGGATCAGGAAATCTCTAATTTCAGCGTGTCAAGTCCGAGTATATCAGGAACAAAAATGCAGCTAATTTCAAGGTTGACTAAGTACTGTGAATGATTAGACAACTTTTTCCCCCATCTCAACAATAATTCGAAGAATTCATTACAACCCAGTATGAACTTTGGCGAAGACTTTTGCAGTTGCTCTGACATGCACAATGAAAATCAGCATGAAGGCCCAAACACATTAGAGCTTCAAACGATGACAGAAAGCTTTAAGATGGATGAAATCTGGGAGCAGAAGAAGATGAAAGTTTAAATCAAGAATAAAACTCAATACCTGCAGCAATACTTTCCCTTCCTTAAGCATGAAGTAATTCTTCTTAAACTCGTAATATGTGTTGTACTGATGCCAAGACTGCAGAAATTCAAACCTGGAGTGAAGAGAGGGAAGTGCACACAATATACAAGATGATGGGTTAGAAATGAGAAAAAACAAGTTAAAAGATCATGAATAAGCTTACTATTTGAAGGCACAAGTGTCCTTACAACCAAGATTTGAATGACAGAATCATAATTAGTAAAAGCTCTTACCGCGGATCATTCTTGGCACGAACGCTGGCCTCAAACTTTAGACCATTCCTCACAACATACTCAGCCAACTTGTCTATGACTGGCTGGATGTCAGGCGGTGGGGGAATGATGGCCGGTGCTGCTGGTGTGGAGACTGGAGCTTCTACCTTTGAGCTGTTAGGGATATTTAAAGATGGAATTAAAACCGTGCAATAAGTCATTTGACTTTAAGAAAGATATTTATGTAATGAGCAAAAAAAATGATCTCAACAAAAGACAGTTTAGGTCTTTTTAAARGGTTTTCTGTGAAAGGTTATGAACAACTATTATATCACCTTTTACTTATTGCTCATTAAACTGTCCAAGTTCGAACAAATACTTTAAGTCTGGATTAACTGATGAGCTGACACAGTCCAAACAAGGTCAAGATCAAAGTGGATTATCGTTGCCTTAAGACAACTCCAGTTTCAAACARTTTGTAGTGTTTTATAATTCTGCTGTTTTATACTCCTAAACACCATAATTGATTTTGCATTACACTGTTATTTTCATAAAGATCACTYCTTGTTTGCATGTGCATACACAGCAGCTAGCTGTAAAACTTCCAAAGCAGCCTGGGTAATTACCAGGAAGAATATTAAATTTCTGTTAGACTTACAGTGTAATCCAAGACTGATAGCAGCTTAAATGTTTATTAAACAGCACTTGCGTGAACCACTATGAAATCTTTAGGATTGGAGTTATTTTCAGACAGGAGCAGTGCAGTCTTGTCCCTATTTGGACTAGRCTGTAGCTTGTCAGTTTGGAAAAGAAAAACTAAATCTACTGAAAGTTATCTACAACAGGTAAGATATTGTTCAAAACCTTTTCCAATGAAATCTCTTGAAATGATCTTATGTATTTCTTTAAAACTCGATCAAGTTACTCAAATGTATTGAAGACATTAATGATGAGCTTAAATTTCTGACAATAACTATGTTAAATACATTCTGAATGATACAACAATCAAGAAAATGTTCCGTTACCATTCYGTTTCTTACCTTACTTCTGGTACTTTCACAGAAGCAGCAGCGGCAGCAGTAGAACTGGGAACACACGAGGCAGCTGCAGGTGGAGCTACCACTGTGACACTTTCAGCAGGTGTTGGAGTTGTCCCAACGTGGGGCAAAGCTTCAGAAGAAGGTGGGGCCGAAATGACAGCTGAAGTCATACTGTTATAATACGAGGCGGCATCCACACCTGGTTGAGGCGGGGCTAAGCAGTATGAGCCATCTGGAAGCATGTAGTACCCGTAGTAAATTGCTGCAAATAAATGAAGAAATGGTTATGAGTAAAGCGTTGGCTCCCAGAAATTATCCATATGTTCCTCATAAAGGAAATTCAAACTGATCTATTGATTCAAAAAGAGGATGGATGGATAAACAAAATGAATGAACAGATGAATAGCTTTGCTTCTAAATGAGCACATTAACGAAGCAATATATTGCACTTAATTTTCATGCCCAACCAACCAAATAATCGCATTAAGAGGATGCTAATTTTTCGTTTTTGTTGAGACTACTATCATGGATTTAACCATATGCCCTGAGCACAGAGTGTAAAGCCTTTCTCCTGCATCAATCCTCTAATAAGTGAATTTGAAATAAAGAAAAAAATTTGATTTATTTGTTTGAATTTTTGTTGACCTCTCAATGTGTTTATACCAATAATACCATGGTACCATGATCTATGGCGTCATTTCAGCCTTATGCATTATGCAGTTTTTGCGTTTTAACCTTGCTAAAGAACACGCACCAGTCAYGGAAAAGTCGTCGCCGCAGGAAATGGAATCTGTCAAATCAGCCTTGTTTATTGACGAGGCTATGAATAACAAAAATGCCACATTTTTGGTCAGTCACTGTTAAAATTACATTCCCAAGGAATGCTGGACAAGGACATTGTCCTTTATAAACCTAATTATTATTTATAGGAGGTTCAGAAGTACAGAGTTTAAACTTAAACCTCTACTTTTTTTATTGTTTTATAAAACAAGTTGTGATATTTACGATTATTTTTTGTGTGTAAACACTAATACACAATCTAAAGAAGTGACAAAGATTACTGTTTTGCAARAACCACACAAAAATGTGTCTGTTGCTGTCAAACTATCCTGTGATTATTCTATGTACCATGCAGTTTAACAATTTGTTTTSGTAAATAAATCACCTGCATTGATTAATTCAATCAATAAAAAAGCAGTGATATACATCAACATGTTATCTAATGCTGGAAAAGGTTATCTTGTTTATCACCTGGGTTCTAATACAAAGACCATTTATTAAAAAAGGSAAGAGGGTGGCATACAGAGATAGAGGGATGAAATAAATGGTCAATGTCAGAGTGGAGACACTGTGATATTAACACATTACTCACTGAGCCGGCTGACTTTAATGGCACAGGTTTTTTTTTTCCAGTCAAGAAAACAAAGAGCCAATCCAGGGRTCTGATGTACAAACTTGTCATGACACATGATATAAACTATGTAGACAGGAAATGATTAAAAATACATTTTTCCCCTCATTGTTTAGCAAAACAGATCTAGATTATCTAGATGATACAGATTTTTTTGTCGCAGAAATCAAGCTTTTTTGAGCTTTAATTATGTTATTACCTCACCAAAAACATACCCAGAGTGTTGCTTTGACTCATTCATGAATGCTTGATAAACCCTTGAATCTCCTGTGGTAGCGTTTTAGTGCTACCTAAACACTTACTGGRACAAAGCACCGCCTACTTGTACACAGCACCACCCTGGAGTGCAGCTTCACAGTGCACCCCTCCCCCACACAAGTCCACCAGATTAGCAAAACATGATTTCACTGCAAAACATGGCTTCARAATYATCTAGATTTATGGGATAATTCYAGTGAGACTCAACTGTAASCTGAGTTGCCATTTTCCAAAACCGATTTTATATAATGTTGCTTCTTTTAACAACAAAATACAACACTGCTAAAAAAAAAAAAAGGCTGTAAACGGCATGAAGCATTGTTGTGAAGACGCACTGAAGTTGGAGTATCAGAAACGATACAGAGACAGAGGCCAATTTCAAGATAAAACTATGCAAAGTCAAATCTATTTTTATATATACAGCATTTTCATAACAACCGAAGGTAACACAGTTACTTGATTGTGGTATATAATTAAACTAATAAATACCCCCTCCCCCCCTCCCCTTAGGGGAGTGTAGAAGTGATAGAGCAAATTGTTACCTATGTCATGTATTCATTCATGCTAGAAGAAAAATATTTTAAAAAGACAAAACAACACTATCAAGAAAAAAAAAACTGAAGCATGGACATATGGACGGTATAATTAGTGCAAAAAAGTAAAATAAATAAATAAATAAGCAGCAAGGACATTTACAGCTCGTATGTAAACATCAACAGCTCTATTTCAGCAGCAAAAATGAGCATAAAAACACTCTTCACAGCTATTTTCAATGATTAAATTCAAGTAGGATGAGTAAGTGCTCCTGGGTCAGCACTGGCAATGTCCACGGCTAAATTTAGGTAGCAGTTTCAAACAAAGGTACATGTATACAGCAGAATAATTCAGTAAATGAAATGCACTCCACACACACTCTTTGCAGAGAATCAAGGAGGATATTACTAGTCAGACGTGAATGTTCAAAGTGATCACTGACAAATTAAATTTACCTTTTGAAAAACAAAGTAAATAATTAGAGTTTTATTTAATTCTGAGCAAACCTATAGTCCAGGTGTTGTGTGAGAAACGTGAAAAGATTCTAGTCAGGTTGTGCAGGTCTGCTCTGTTTTTTAATAAATTCAATAATTCATTCATGTTAGGGCACTGAGAAGCCTTTTACATTAGCCCAACACTAAAAGGCAGAAAATGGTTCTAGAGTAGAAAAAAACTGTGCATATAGAAAAATCCTTATCTGATCGGCAGGGGAGGCTTACTTGTATATCGTTTTAACAGATCAAACAATTTCTGAACTCAAAGAGAAAAATGTATCTGGCTGAAACAAAAACCAGGGAAATAAAAAGCAACATTGAATCTATGTCAAGTGTGTTCTTTTTCTCTCAGGAGAAAAACAACAAAGCAACATGTACTCACGGTCAGCTGAATACTGGGTTACTGTTGTGGGTTTGGGCTCCTCGATATTTGTTACTGCTGCTGCCGCCGTGCCATTTCTTTCTTGTTGGGCTTTCAGTACAATTGCTGCCAGAGGATGATCAGGATCCATAACCTTTAAAGGCTGCAAAATCACAAGATTGCATAAAAATATTATTCTATCTTGCCGGAGTATTTACTAAATAATCTTGCAACACATACGACTTATACAAGATGAAACCATTTATTGTAGTAATAAAAAATAGGCATTCAAACCTCTCCTAAGTCAGATATTGTGAAAACATGATCAGCTTGTATTTTAATAAAGTGAAACGATAATAATAGTTTATCAATAAAGACTAAAAGATCTTTAGAATTCAGGCGTTACTCCCATAAATCCTTTGACATAAATCCTTGTTTAAAAAATGTCTAGTTCATTTAAAAAGAAAATCCTTCTTTGTGGGATGCACTGGTTTGACAGCTTCTTGCTAAAATAAGCGCATTATGTTTCTTTAAAAAGGCATCCTTCTATTCTTGTGCTCAAAGACTAATGATTATCTTGACAAGTCGTATGAAAGCACTAACAAAAAGCTAACAGCATGATGACAGGGAAGCAGAATGTAATTATTGCACATTTGTCTCATGAGCAGATATTGGCAGCAAGGAAGGAATATGGATGTAAACAATCTGTTTCAAATAGAGTTTTAAAAAAGAAGTAGCCTAAAGACAAATACATTAATAATGAGGATGTAAACAATCCATTAGTTTCAAATTGACAATTTTAAAAGAGTAGCCTGAAGTCTTTATAAAATAAAGTCATACATCTTAAACTTGAAACACATCTTAGACTATTTTGAACAAGTATTGAAGTATTTTACTTGCRGTTGACAAAATGAACATTAACAATTTAAAGCTTCTCTAGCAGTTCGACATGATTCAACAAATCCATCTTAAACTTGATCCAAACAACCAAAAATGGAGAAACAAAAAGATAAAAAACACTGAGCAACATGTCTACTAAGAAATAAATCACTAAACATCTCTACTATGCTGCAAGAGGTGATGAAGATGGATTACATTAATCTGATTTATGTTCTTATTTTACTCAGTCTGGCTGTAAGCTGCATAAAACATTCATAAACCACTGAACCTGATTAAAAAAAATGCTGTTGCTAAACTGAAATAAAAATGATTATTCATCTTTTTTTTTTAGAAAACTTTAGTCGACACACTCTGTAAAGAACTGCGGGACGGAGAGAAACTTTAGCTGTGCCAAACTGGTTAACCATGACAAAGGGTGGAAAATATTCTGTTAACATTACCTTTGTTAGCTCCTCCAGGCGAGAGCACTTTTTAGGGGCGAAGAGACTTGGATGAAGGTAGTTGCCATCTCCATCATCATCAGAGTCTTCTGAATTTGACTCTGCTACAGGAGGCAGATAAGTTAAAAAAAAGTATTGTTATATTCAGGAAAAATATATATATTACTGGATATCATTTAAATTTTATTGTGATAATGTAGTAAAAATGACAGCATACCTCAACTGCTTTAACATAGATATTTATGTAATATAAGTTTGGGCGGTATGAAGGTATTTTTTTATACTGCGGTATCAAAATATGACAATGGTGTAAAACAAATGACGGTATGAGTCACATGAGGTGATGCGCTTTTGAACGCTGGGACAAACATTTCAGAAGATGTCCCATGTTGTTACTGACGCATGTTCTGATCACCTCAGCTCATTCAGAAAACAAACAGAAGGGAGGGTGGAGCAGAGACACCCCATCTCTCCTGCCTCCGAGCGGGGTAAAAAAATTAAAAAATAAAAAACGAGCGAGCTTGTCCAGATGGACATGTTCAGACCTCGCTGGCTGTGACAGACAGCTTCACGGACCAACCAGCTGCAGCTTGCTTGAGTCAACCAAATAGTGGGACTCCTTTTGGGTTTACACTTTCTGTGATATTTTAAAAATATTTTTCGACCCATTACCGGTCCGTGACCTCACGCTGCAGACGAGGAAATGACTACAAATCTTTTTGGCACAAAGACTTTTTTCTTGTTAAAAGCATGCATCAGTTTTGAATTGACCACAGTAAGAGTCAGTTTATTTTAAAACTTAAAATTCTACAAAAGACGTAGTTTGACTCGTGGTTGATGTGTTGGACATAACAGTGGGTATGCTCATTCAGTGACTCCTGCTGTGCTGCTTTGAGTGACAGCAACGTCAGAGCAGCTGAGTTTTTTATAACACCTGTCGCTGGCTTTATGAATGTAAATGCTCACAAGAAGCCATTTTTCCATTCAACATTAACTACTCAATACGTCACAGACACCACCACCCCCCATTAAAACCATATGCCACAGTATTTTCTAAAGTTCATACCACAGTATGAACATGAGCAAAAACCATCCAACCCTAATGGAATAGTTATAGTACATGACACCCTTGGCAAAGTGTGTTAACCTACGAGTTTAAAAACTGTGGATTCTGTGATGACTTTCTGGAACTCACCCTGCTCCTGCTTGTTGTCAGAGACAAGGTTGTATCGACCTTCCTTCATCGCCCGCAGAATGTGTTTGTAATACGGGTTCAGATAATGGTCAAAGCGGAGAAAGTCGAACTGGGAGTTGCTGGCCTGCTTCGCTTTTAGCACAATCTCAAACTGAGCCCCCTGCTGACACACAAATTTGGCTGTCCTCTCAATGATATTGTGGGTCTTGGTGGTTGCGGGCTACAGAAAAGAAAAGGGGAAAAGAATGTTAAGCAATTGTGGTAATAAATGTTTTTTTTTTTTTTTGTTAATGTCCTTGTTAAAAAAATTCTAATAGACAAACAAGAACTAGTCCTTAAAAAAAGTTAGTGAACATTAGGAGGGTAAAATGATAACAGCTCCTTCAAGCCAAGGACATAAGCCATTTTGTGTCTGAAATGCCTTTTTTCTATCCCAAGAAATCTTTGCCAACTGTGATGACATTAATTCTGAGATTAAATATGGGGTGGAAATCTGTGGATCAACAAATGGTCCATAATTCATTTTTTATTTTACATTCTGTGTGCTTTAAATGATTAATAACTGTAATTACCTAGAGAGTACAGCCAGTGCAGATATCTCCAGTAGAATACACATATCTCATCAAGATAAAAGTCATAATAAATATTTGTCAGGACACTGGTTAAAAAGGCAGCCAGTGTCCACACCAAGATATTATTGGTGTTTTAGGTTGCCTAGAACATCTCTTTTACACAATAACTATTTTTATTTATGTTGAAGTATTGTTTATAAAAAATGCCTTACATGAGACACAAAAACAGTACACCTCTCTTGTGTTTATAATTCACAAACTGCATTAATTAACCACATTTTACCCTAAAATATTTTTTTATTCTAATATTTTGGTCTGAAGTCTCCTACATACCAAAGTGTTGGCAAGAGCCGTTGAAACCCCTGCTGTGTCTCCTCATGGTCTTAGCAATTAGCAGAAACACTTCAAACACATGGAGCTGACATTCATCTACATACTCCAATGTATCAACACGTGCAAATGGGCAAAACCTTGTAGTGCAGAAGAAGCAGGGCTTTTATATAATTCAACAAGGTGAGACATAAAAGTTAGGTTTGGTGATTAATAATTTAGTTTTTCATATAGTTCTTGCATAGCTAATTGTGTTTTAACACCCGTAAACTACTCAAACTCCATATTTAAAGTGACATTTTTTGATTCATTTGAATATTTATGCTTTCCTACGCATTTAAGCATAATATATAGGAACAGCTAAATAATGCAAGATTAAAGAGAACAGTTAATTCGCAAGAAAATAAGAATCTCATGCGTTTAAGCCATAGCTGGTATTTTATATCTGAATCACATGCACAGGATCAGATCTGCCTCAACTGATGGACTGATTGTGAGTGGAGAGAAAATGAAAATCGCAGATTTATGAGAAATGCATCTCGGGGGAATGAATAAAATGTATTATGTTGCGTGATGTTACACACACACAGATGTTTTGGTTGTTGGAAACGCACACACACACTATAACAGAATTAAATGTTTTTCTTCTCATACGTAAGAAATCTGCAGCTATAGGCTGTTGACGGGCATTTGTCTACACCAAACTAAATAAAACATCAGTTTAAATATTTCAGTCTATGTCTGCCCTTTCTTTAATTTGGATGTTATGTCAACATGAAGCAATCTATTGCAGGTTCTCTACAGTATAAACTGGAATTCAAGGCCTGTGTGCTGTCGACTGTCACCCAGAAATCACAAGACACATTGTTGCTGGAACTGCCAGAGCAATTTCCTGTGTTTAATTTTTTCTTTTCTTTTTTTTTTTACTGTTCTCTACAGTATAAACTGGAATTCAAGGCCTGTGTGCTGTCGACTGTCACCCAGAAATCACAAGACAAGTTGTTGCTGGAACTGCCAGAGCAATTTCCTGTGTTTAATTTTTTCTTTTCTTTTTTTTTTTACTGTGAATTACAGTAATAAATAAACATAATTTTGAAAAAAGCTCTAACTAGAAAGGTGAGAGTWTTATAAAGTACTGTGGTTATTTATGTTTTAGCTGGAAACAAGTTATTAAACTCTAAGTGAGTGAACAGCTTCTCATTTTATAAGCGACTCATCTCACATAAAATGAGAATGCCAGGATTCATTGGACTCAATATTATTTCAAATATGGATCAGCCACCACGGCATCCACAACTTTAACTCACTGAGATGTGCTGGAGGAGTCAACTGTACCATTCTTATATGATGAAAATATGAATGCAGCTACAGTCAAAAATACATGTTGTGAACAAGAAAGTGACGATCCAATCTTAAAGAGTAAATCTGGTCCAGATCAGTGTTTTTTTTATGACTTACCAGAACTAGGATCAACAAGAACCCATCTACTTTGTATTTTGTTTTCTGTCAGACATGTCACCTGGTTTGTTTTCTGTTATATCAGCTACACTGTGGGAGGATTAGTTGGCAAAAACTAATTAAAAAAAGCTTTAATCCACAGTTTTACAACCTCATTACTTTGCATGTTTTTTTTTCCTTACACTTAATTATTTACAGAATCCATGCATTTAAAACACAATTTATATTGTAAGAATAATTTGAAAGATTAAAAACACATACACACAATATACTGTATATACATACATGGTGTATCAGAAAAAAATGATACTCTCAGAAAAATTGCCATAAAATTAGCAAAGATAATAATTTTGAATCATTATTATTAACCTTTGGTYGAGGGGATCATTCTGGTTCGAATGACACCAAAATCTTAGTTAACGCTTCACGCTCCAGTGAGCAGGGACAGTTGGAATTTCACAAAATTCATGTCCTTTGCGCAAGGAAATGTGAGGGTTAAAATACGATCTGTCACATCAAATTTAAAGTTTAGATGGTGTTTTACATGCATGCCAAGGCGTTTTTAAAATAATTAACCCTTTCATGTCCTATTGTCAAAAAAAAAATCTCATTTTTGAGTGGATCATAACCAAGGGTTAACAAACACGTGAAGTGGCCGTGGACAAGTCAATCCAGCCAACTAACATTACATGTAATATACTGTACATGTACATTACATGAATTTTGTGAATTTCCAACTGTCCCTGCTCACTGGAGCGCGAAGCGTTAACTAAGATTTTGGTGTCATTTGAAGCAGAATGATCCTCTCTCTTTATGTATATATATTAATATATACTTGATTATACCATCACATTTTTAGTTAAAAGCTTCAAGCACTTACCAGTTCCACATCAGGTGGGATAGCAAGTCCTGAGGGAGCAACAAATGGTTCTTCACTCTCCTCTGGCTCAGCCTCTTCTGTGGGTGTGAACACACAATGAAATGAAACGAAATAGATTAGTATAATTCTCAGTAATCACTTTAAATTAAATTAAACATASCTGACTGGATATCTACATGGGAGACCAGTAAAATTAAAATGACTYAATTCCTAAATATTCCACAAATGAATAAAGCACATTCCTTCAATTCTCCTCTTCCCAAATGTAGCACAGTGAAATACCACCTTAGCCTTTACCTTCGTCTTGATACCAACATAGAGGTCATGTGGAGAKGAGATTAAATTTTTAATATAGCACTGCAGGGAGTTTGCAGAGTGATGAAGGAGCCCTTTAATTTAATACAAAGGAGTGATGGGTAGTAAAACTCAAACTTTCCAGCAGGCCTAAAGGATTTCTAACGTGGAACGTCCCACGGGTGTAAATTTTAAAATACGTTTTGGCAAAGCTCTGAACTATTGAGTGTTCGCTCCATCTTAAATCAGACCTTAAATCAAATTTAGAGGTAGTGGTTGTGTGAGTGGGGTGGGGGATCTGTGTGGGTGTGGGCGATATGATGACACAAAGAATTTGAATTTTGTTTTTAATAACAGAAATTTGCATTTGCAGCTGCTTCCAGCTTTATGAGTGTTTTATCTCTAATTGCCACTAGAGTAAGGATGGCCGATGGAAAGTTTTTTAACCCATCACCCAACCTTACTATCCAAACTACACCAAAATCAATTAAAATATTCAGCTTAAAGATACAGTATGCACATAAAAGACGACAGTCTTTTTAGTTGAATGAGCCCATTAAAACAAAATGGGTAGATTTAAATAAATTCTCCTAACAGACACTGCAGGTTAATAAAGATCTTCCTTTCAAGAAGAAATAAATTCTCCTATTGTATTGTAAAATGAATAGTGATGAAGGGTTTTACAAAGAGGCTCACAGTAACACATCTGTCATGTTTTGACAGAGTGCATATACTGAAATTAACCTTCTGGTGTATTTAGCTTTCACTCAGGGGCAAATAACAGTGGTAATGATCTGATTTACACTGTATCTGCTTCTGTCAGCCTAAAATATCTCTTTCAGGGTATTAATTTGCATTGTTCTGGAAAGGTTCTCTACTTATTTTAATAAATCTGCATCTGTGATAATGTCAAAGTCGTATTTTAAAATGACCAGTGAGACCTGAACCGAAATGACTTGTTCCCCAAAAGCAAATTCAAATACCAGCACCTTCAGCAGACATTTTAATACCTCTGTTCTTCAAACTCCCTTGAGGAAAATGGAATCCATCAAGCCTGCTTACCTGTCAGGCTTTCCAGCAATCGCTGCATCGAATATTTCATGTCGCAGAAATGCATGGACGTGCTCTACTTTAGCAATTTTCGAGAAGGTCTTTAGAGTTGTAGGATTTGAGGGTTGTGTGGTTATTTACGGAAAGACATAAACAAAGATACGCTTGTGGGATAAGACTTGTTTCAACTTAAGTTAGAGCTTTAATTTTATGGTTATAAAACTGAGAAATGCACATTCGTAAGTGTCCTTAAAATAAGAACTAAAGTTGATAGTAATAGAGAAAATCATCTCAGGGAGCAAAACAGCGCAACGTATTGTGAATCAGACAGAAAGGGATTTAAGCCGCATCTCCACAGGCCTACATCTGCACAAATTCACTTGAACATGAAAATGGAGCCACAAACTTGTCCTTGGCAATTAGCCCATTAGCGCCACAGACTCTGAATAACAAAATACAGTTTTCCCATTCCACCACTTTTGATTGTGTAAATATTTTTTTGCATGGTTAGCTCTTTAGTTAAATGTAATATGTGCTTCTTTTCTGATTTTTTTTGCCTCATCATTCAAATCAGCACCACACATATCCATGACCAATAGTTTCTCACCCTGCTCCTTGTTGGCATCCTCTTCCTCTGTGGGTTGTGAGGGATCATAGTAGTCAGCGCTGTATTTGAAGGCCACTGCATTGTAAGTGCCTTCATCAGCCAGAGCTTCACTTAGGCGTTTGTACTCCTCCTCTGTAAAAAATAAAATTACAATAAAATATAACATACACTCAATAAAATAAAATAAATGATGCATTAATTTGTATTAATTAGAGTGCGCTTAAAACTGTCAGAGTTGTAGGAAACTACCCCTTAACGCTTTTTTAACACTAAGTGACAAACATCTAATTATATCAGAATTAGCAGCATACATCCTAAGTATCACTTTCAACCAGGCAAAACGGACCTCCTGAGTCACAGGGAGGCAGAGCAGCAAGCAGTTAAATTGGCTTCTGCACAGTTCTTCGAAAGAATCCAATATACCACATTACGTTACTAAATAAAAGAAAAAGTTGTCCAACATCCTCTTCTGTGCCTCTGACTCACAATAACTAACTGCAACAACCTGTTTTTTTTAGCATTTCAGGGGAATAAAAACAAAACTTTTATAAAAAGATCTTTAAGGCATATCACAGTTCCACTCTCTGAATCAATATTTTCTGTTGCTCACCTGAAACAAAGCTTTTGTCTTCATCAAACATGTTCTTATGATGACCCTCGTTTTTTTAAGTTGCTTGACTGGCGTCAAAGCTTCTTACCTACCAAAGCAGAGGTGCTGTTGCTCAAATAATGCCCCCAGTCGATTTAAAAGATTGTTGTTTTCATTAATAATTATGCTGCAGAATCACAATAACAACCCAATGAGTCAAATCTCAAAGCGTAAAAATGAAAAACAGGGATATTTTTTGATTCATTTGCTCCTAAATTTTCCACTACACCCAAAATGTTGGCGATAAAACGTGAGAAAAACACTTTACTATATGAACTTTTTTACTAAAAGCTACTTTACTTAATGCAGTGTCCCATTTCCATCAAATAAATACTGCCTATACACCTACAGTTGCTCCGTCTGGTCCAAAAATGTAAAGCTTTTAGGCCTGTTGTGTATTCCTTGAGTTGGACTGTTTAATAAAAGAAACATAACTCAATTGGAAAGTACTGCTAAAAGCCACAGGAGACTGGTTATTGAGAAAATACATCTCAGGCGAGAACGAGAAAGTAAACAAAGCGTCGACATCAGCGGCTGAAAATCAACTTGGCAGCACTCTGTTTAGAAGCCCAAGTCAGGTCAGTCCAAAAAGCTGCAAGCAAATGTTGATTTCACTCACTTCACAGGATAAAAATTGCACCCTGCAGCAGGAGCCATTTAGCTTAGACTTTCAGAATACAACACGCTGCTGGGTTAGACTGTTTTCACCACACAGACACGAACTCTAGCATTTATCACTGGAATGAGATTCATGCCCAGGGTCACTGTCCAGATATATGTCTTATTTTGTAGGAGGTATTTCAAGAAGGTAAAATTTCTTGTTTTGATTGGAAAATAAGAAGCAGTCAGTAGCTGCGTTTCCATTGCAAATGTGCGCAAAACTTTGTCGATATTCTGTTAATGTTGAAAAAACACAGTTTCGCAATTGTGGTGTTTCCATTAAGTAAGAAATGCTATTAAAGTCACACGTGAATGTGTTTGTTCTCGCGATACGTCATTAAAAACATGGCGGCAATGGATGTAAACACATAGCATATTGCTACCACGACACTAGCGCTCGTCATCAGAGGAGACGTCGGCATCTTGTCGAGGCTTTCCAGTGACAAGCCCCTTATACTTGGGAGCGGCTACGTACAGTATGATGTGTTTTTGGGAAATTGTTGTCAGTGAGTTTACTACTTTCTTTTACTACTTTGTTGATTTCACTACTACTTCTACTTCCTGTTGTCTTCTTTGTCGTCATCTTTTTCGCCAATAGAAACAGCCGGTTCTTGATCACGTGACTCCTGTGATGAGAAAAAAAGTGTTTCCATTGCAGTTTTGCGAAACACACCAATTTTGATACGGCCAAAAAACCACCTCATCCTAGCGCAAAAACTTTTTGTCGAAAAAAGTATGTTTTTTTTRCGAAATTGACATGTTTCCATTGAGCAAATTTATTTTCAAAATTCTAATTTGCGCATTTTCATGGTCAATGGAAACGTAGCTACTTATACTCCCACCTAACAGAATCTGTTAAAAAGCACTAAATATTCCAAAAGATTTTGTTTTTAYTTTGCAAGTATTCATGATGATAGATTAAGAGCAACAATCTATAATGACTAATTGCAATAATTAGTAATTACCGGTTTCAACATAACTTTAAAGCCTGTTTGATCACGGTAATAAAGTTCCCTTTGTATTAAAGTAACAACATATCTATCAATCCTTCTCATGCTTACTGCGCCTTTGGTGAACAGAATGGTGACAGGCTGAGTAAATGGGGCCAGGCCACTAAATTCAAGGACAAAACAGCCTAAGGAAAAAGCCTTCTGCAGTGTGTGTGTGTGTGTGTGTGTGTGTGTGTGTGTGTGTGTGTGTAATGCAAGCCATTACACATTCTTGTCAGTTTTGGAATAAGACACCATATTTCACCTAAAATAACAGTGAATTAAATCAATTACAGTCATTAAGTCTGTCTTTCAGAAGGGTACTTTGTCATCAAAACAACCTGTTTCATTGCAATTTAAAATGTCTGATATGAAAATGTCCCAGATATGTGAAAGTCAAAAATGATTTAAACAAGAGCACCTTTCACTCAGACTCAAAGCTGGTTCATTTTATAGAAAGCACCTAAAACTGCTTTAGAAGGGGGTTACTATAGTAAACAGGCATTATTGTAATCACTGCTTTGTTCTGATATGGAGCATATAGAGTGCAGTGTGAACAGAAATGTAGAGATTTTCTTGAAGTGCAATTCAAAAACCTGAATAGGGTCTCTTTAGAAAGAGATGATAATGGATAGAAAAGGCTTTTCAATGGGTAAATATAAAATAATATTAGGTAAGCAACATCAAGAGTGAAAATTTAACAACAACAAAGATCTAAATCAATATGTGTCTGTTACTGTTTGAGTCTAACGATCAGGCATCAAAAGCTGCATTCCTGAGAAAAAGGAGAAAAGTTTCTGTTTGAGCAATAAGAGGTCTGCAGTGTTTATTCATCACATACAGTCCTCGTTACATCGTCCAAGTATATTTATCAGTGTACAAATAATTAACATAGGGCTGGAAGATATGGCTAAAATTTATAATGCAATCCTAATTTTGGTCGATATGATATAATTTTGATATGAATAAAAAACTGCCAGAAAACATGCCAAGAACACTAATTTATTGTACCTACAAACTTGAGTTTAAGATATCTTTAATTAGAATTATGACTAGTCACAACAAAAAGCGAGACATCTCACTCGTCAGAATTTAATTGTTGATATCTGAAATGTACTGTATATTTCAGATAATCAGTAATTTATTGCAGATATTTACACTGGAGCCTCCATTCCACTTAACTGTAAATCTTATTCTAGTCAGAACGTAATTACAGATTTTATAGATATTTTAATAAATCTAAACATTTTGCCTAGTCAAAATATAAACAGAGATATCTATATTAAATATGTTGAGTTATAAAACAATTTCAGATATCTGGAATGTAAGTGTGGTGAAGCCAATTTTATGTCTCAACAGTCTGCCATACCCATCTGTGTTTGCAGCGTCAGCTTTATTTGCTCAACACAACCGCTGATAGGGAGACGGTGAAGTTTTAGGAAGAGGGTTTAAACTTTTAGGGTGCTTCATTTTCATACACTCAGAATGTTCTATGGAATGGAACTTTATCAGATGGTGGAACAGWTTTGATGAGTTCCAGCTGCGAGTTGGCACCAGACTCCAGCACATTTTACAGAGAACTGAAAGCTGAAGTTTGTCAGAACTTCGATACCCGAACCACTTCCACACCACGGAAATTATGGTAGTCTTTGTTTTTTAAGTCACATCACCATTATTTACACATTTTCTATCATTGTAAAGGAAAAAAAATTGTATAGGTCCTCTGGACGGGTTCTTCTTTAATGAAACGTTTCGTCTCTCTTCCAAGAGACTTCTTCAGTCTGAGAGTTTCAGGCAAAATTCAGGCTTTTATGTCCTCCCTCCAGGTGACTCATACTCACATCGCATGACTATGACTCACAGGTGACTGAGGTGACATGTGGGTATCAGTCACCTGTGAGTCATAGTCATGCGATGTGAGTATCAGTCACCTGGAGGGAGGACATAAAAGCCTGAATTTTGCCTGAAACTCTCAGACTGAAGAAGTCTCTTGGAAGAGAGACGAAACGTTTCATTAAAGAAGAACCCGTCCAGAGGACCTATACAATTTTTTTTTTCCTTTGATTTTTTACCTGGATTACTGAGATGCATCAGGATGTTTAGTAATTAGTTTTCTTTGTATTTAAGCC